TTACGTCGTCAGTGCAAGGCCGACCGTGCAGCTTTCTTCGAGAATGTCGCTCAGGACATAGCCAGCAGGCCGGCAGGGGAGCTGCATGTGGCGGTTAAGCGGGTTATGCGACCCAAGCGCTTCCGCAAGGCCTCTGCTGACCCTTTGCCCCTCTTGATCGATCATACCGGTGCTGTGTGCCAGTCAGAAGCCGCATCTCGGGACGCATGGCGGAGGCACTTTAGTGCGCTTGAAGATGGGGTCACTGTGTCAGCTGCGGAACTGGTCTCTTCTTGTCGCCGGCATCAGGGACTCTTTGACGGCACTGACCAGGTTGATATTCATCATGTGCCGACGATTATCGACCTCGAGGCCGCCTTTCGAGCAACCTCCCCTGACAAGGCGTGCGGACCGGACATGCTACCGCCGGCTCTTTGCCACTACTTTGGGGCCGACCTTGCCCAGCTCTTTTGGCCCATGGTCCTCAAGACCGTCTTTAGGTCCGCGGAAGCTGTGGGGCTTAAGGGAGGGTTATTGCATCATATCCCCAAGCCGGGATCATCCTTGAAACACACATGCGCAGGCCACCGAGGAATCCTCGTGCAATCTTGTATATCCAAGGCCCTTCATCGCACCATGCGCTCCCTGGCGATAGACCACTGGAATCGCTGGGCTCTCCCGATGCAGATAGGAGGCAAGCGTGGATGCTCGGCCCACTTTGGACATTTCGCCTCGCGGGCATTTATGCATGTCGCGCGCTCGCGCGCATGTTCGGCTGGGGTTCTCTTTGTAGACCTTGCGGCGGCATATTATAGCGTCGTCAGAGAGACCATTACGGGCGACCAGCTCGGCGAACGCAGCATCTCCGAGATTGCCGCCACGTTACATCTTTCCCCCGAGGACCTGCAACTCCTCAGCCGCCATGTTGCGGAGGACCCAGTGTTGTGCGAGCAGCATGCAGCCACGCTACTTACTGAGGTCGCAAGCGAAATGCACAGTCATACGTGGTTTGTGCTTGCAGGGGACGCATCTCTTGTCAGGACACATAGGGGCACGCGGCCGGGCGGGGCCCTGGCAGATGTTATTTTTAACATCCTGTTTGGACGAGTTCTGCAGCGCAGAGACTCTGACGAACTCCAAGGCACTGGATTGTCCCTGCCATGGGATGCCGTTCGTAATCCCTTTGCCATTGCTGATGCGTCGTCGCCCCGAATCACAGTACAAGATGTCGTGTTTGCCGATGACTTAGCCTCTTTTGTGATTTCCCCCGGCGCTGCTGGCATTCGAGCGGCACTCAGCAATGTGGCTTCTGCCAC